GTGGGAAAAAAGAAACCCTCATACACTGCTCGTAGGAATGTAAATTGGTACAGCCACTGTGAAAAACAGTATAGACTTTCCTCAAAAACATTAAGAATAGCTCTACCATATGACCCAGCAATCTGTCTTCTGGGTATTTACCTGAAAAATTTGAAAACACTTATTTGTAAAAATATATGTTTCCCTATGTTCACTGTAGCATTATTCACAGTGGCCAAGAAATGGAAGCAACCTAAAAGTCCTTTGATGGATGATTGGATAAAGAAGAAGTGGTACATATATACTTATGTTACTTAGCCATAAGGAAAGATGAAATATTGCCATTTGCAATAACATGGATGGATCTAGAGAATATCATGCTAAGTGAAGTAAGTCATATGGAACAAAAAGAACCATATGATTTCTCTCACATGTGGGATATATAACAGAAAGCAACAAATGGACAGACAAAACAAACAAATGAACTTATAGACACAAACAACCTAATGTTGGTCATCAGAGGAGAAGAGGGCTGGTGGGGAGGATGAAGAGGATAAAGGGGGTCAAATATATGGTAATGAAAGGAGACTAGACTATGGGTGGTGAGCATACAATGCAGTGTACAGATGATGTATTGTAGACTTGTACATTTGAAACTTACAAATGTTATTAACCAGTATCAGCCCAGTAAATTTAATAATTTAAAAAATATATCTGCTGGCTGCTATTGTCAGGCCTCTGTCTACATACTGCCTCCCAATGTGAGCTTATTACCTAATATCCACAAACTTCCAGTGTCATCTGCACAACACAGTTAATACCATCCTCAAGGGATTTTGCTGAACATTAAGTTATATCACATATATCAAGTACCTGTGACATTATAAATGCCTGGAATTGCAGTTACTATAGTTAGTAAGTTTTCCAGGTCTTGGTTAATCTCTAGAAACATACAAGGTATTTGATTTTTTTCCCTTGAGATGAGGAGAGAGGTGAGAAGTGGAGAAAGTAGAGTGGGGCCAAAAGTTAGAATTTGGTTCTATGAGAATTAGGAACCACTAGGAACCACTACAGCTTTTTTTACAAGTGGAAACATGGGTAGAGCAGTATCTGAAGAAAGTAATTAAAATTGTTTGCAGATATATTTATATTTGGCATTTCAGATAAAGAGTAAACTATCCCTCAATTACTCCCATGCTGTAAGTCCCCTCTTGTCTGTGGTTTTGCTTTCTGCAGTGTGTTGCCCGTGGTGAACTATGGTCCGAAAACATTAAATGGAGGATTCTAGAAATAAACAATTCATAAGTTTAAATTGTGCATCATTCTGAATAGTGTGATGAACTCTGGTGCTATCCCACTCCATCCGGCCCAGGAAGTGAACCATCCCTTTGTTCAGCGTCTCCACACTATATATGCTGACCTGCCTGTTAGTCGCTTGGTAGCTGTCTTGGTTATCAGTTTGACTATCATCGTATCACAGTGCTTGTGTTCAGATAACCCTTATTTTACTTAGTAATGGACCCAAAGCACAAGAGTAGTGATGCAGGCAATTTGGATATGGCAAGGAGAAGACATGAAGTGCTCCCCTTAAGGGAAGAGGTGAGGACAGTACTATAGGATATTTTGAGAGAGGAGGGAGAGACCTCATTCACAATATTTTTATTACAATATATTGTTATATTGTTCTATTTTATTATTAGTTATTGTTAATTTTGAATTATGCATAACTTATAAATTAGTATTTATCATATGTATATATGTATAGGAAAAAATACAGTATGTATCGGGTTTGGTACATATCTGTGGTTTCAGGCATCCACTGGGGGTCTCGTGATATACACCCTGTGGATGGGGGGCCTGTTGTATTCTCCAGGTCCTACCACAGTGTTTATAAATGGCCTACACGGAGGTATCCACTTAAGGTTTAGAATGTTATGATACATCATTCATATGTGATTCATTCATTCTGTTTTTTTAATCTCCAATGAAAACTAGAAAGTCATGTTCATTAATAAATGCCAGAGACATACAGTAATATAAAATACAAAACCTCTCTCTCCTAAAACTCCTTAAGCTGATTGGATTTCATCTAGTAAGACATTAAGAAGTATAGTTCTGTCTAATAACATTTTTTCAGCTGCATTGCCATTCCTGACATTCATATTTACTTACCATTAGAAACCATTAGAACCTTTACTATTGGGATATTTGGAAGAGGCACTGATGCTGAAACAATAGTTCTCTAAGGTTCAACTAGTGTGTGAGAGAACGCTCAGGCTCCCTCTGGTGGCAGTGATGTCTTACTGTTTTTATTGAAAATGAAAATGTGGAAGATGAGGTGATGAGGTTGTCAGGGTGAAGCGATGTTCTCAGTTAAACACAAAACAGAAGTCTGGTGCCTTAGATAAAGATTTAGCACGAGGCCTCTGGAAGTGACTAGGTTGCTTGCTTCCGCAGCTTCCTAATCCTTCAATTCGGGGATCGGGGGGCGGAGAACGGCAGGAAAGGAAAAAGGAAGATTAAGACATCTTCTAATCATATCTATTCTGACCACTCACAAATATGATGAGGAATTACTGAGATATTTACTAAGTGCTTTGAATTCTTTAAATAAAGATGTTTTGTAAATTTACAATTTTCTTTGCAATATTTTCTAGATAATTAGAATCGGGGATTTAGAAGACTATATGCAATGATGGGGTTTAAACCTTTGTAGATTTATGAAGTCTTATTTTAGCGTTTTGGAAGAAAGGAAAATGATTTCTAAATGATGTCTTATCAGACTAGTTTCTCTGAAAATTAAATATTTAACTTGGGCTATTGCTATAAGGTGTGGATGAAGGATGCTTTTGAAGATTATTGGACTAACATAGGACTACATGTGTATTTTTTATATATGTTGTACCTATGGACAACTCAGGGCTCTATTTCCTCAGAAATTTATTTGGAAAGTTCAAGTAAAACATCTGCATAATTAAGGGACTTTTAATTAAGGAAAATGGCTGTTAAAATTCCACAGCTTTCTAAATCCACAAAATGATGTTGCGCTGAAGATCATGAATTCATCCTAAATTATTGAGTAAATGCATGCAGATGTAAGCATAAAAATAATACATTCCTCATTAGCACATGTTCACATTTGTTAAATCACAGGTGGTCTAGCAATTGGAGGAAATTAGCATTTTTTTTTTTTTCTTTTAGCTTTGGAACTTTTCCCTGCCTTAAAGCTGTTTGAAACTTCTGGCCATTTCAGAATTTGATTTAGTTAAATATATGAATATTATTGTACTGTAGAACTTACTCATATGGACTAAATTCCTGAATCTTTTAGGACCAATAATTATGGCTGGAAAGACTGATGTTCTCATTCAGGTTAAGGTAATATTTTTGCTAATTCTTCCAAGATGGGGATGAAAGGCATTTCCCGTGGAATTGCAGCAATAGTTTTTTAAAACAGGAAAATACCTTTATGTTTTTTTTTTTTTTCCTTTTCTGATAATTAAGGTAAGAAAATCTCTTGGCTAAAAAAAAAAAAAATCAGAAAATTTAAGTAAATATGAAAATAAAATTATCTGTAATTCCAACACTCAGAAATATCTACTGCTAGTGCTTTTTAATATTTGCACCTTTTCTGGCAGTATTATTTAATAGGCTAACATATGGTCTAGTGAATCAGACCAGATAACTGTAGGAAAGGTAGCTTCTATACGGGAAATCCTTCCAAGGAAGCATTTCTTTAGATTTTTTTAAGCATACAATTTTGTTCTTATGACAAAATCTATTAACAATATTATGTTTTATATGTCTGAGACCAAGGCTGCATCCCCTTCCCTTTATCTTCCATATTTTGACTCCTTTTGAGTTGATTAAAAAGTCTTTACAGATTTTTTTCCATGGGGGTGGGGGGGGCGGGAAACTACTTAATTCATTTGCTAGAAAGTAACTTGTTGTATACTGTGGGCTCAGAAAGCCCTACCAGAATGCCTATGGTGCCCTTATTAACTGAGAAAAAAGGAAGGCAACATAATATCACGTTAAAAGTGACATTGAGCCCCCAAATTCTAATACAAAGTATAAATGTGAAATACCATAGGACAGAATATATCAGTGGCTTTGCTTAGCTGCAGGCCTTTTCATTTTTAGGGTTTGGATCCTTTCTTTGGGCCTATTATTAGTCGTCAGTTCTCTTGAAAGGACGGATGAAAGCTTATCATTTTTCTCACCATGAAAAAGACATTCCGTGGCAACAATTGTAGTGATAATAGATTTCTAGTATTCATTGCTGTTATGCGAAGTGTGAGCACATGAATGCTGACTTTGAATTTCTCATCTAGGAAGTTAAAGATAGTGTTGTAACTACTTTCTATTCAAGTCATTCTTGGAGAAGAGATTTGTGGGTCTATACAGGGATGGAGAAGGGCATATGAAGAGTGACAGCATGAGCCACAGATAGGTTCCAGCATTTGCGGGCTTATGCTTTGGCCCAGAAACACATCGGATGTAACATGAAAAGGGGGTCAGTGGCACACAGTCTGCCAGTCTGGCCTGTCCTACCATTTCCTTTTCCCTTATGGTTGCTGTTTCTACAGGGTAGTCACAGATCATGTTGGGCCTCTTTCATATTAATAGAATCAGGATGAGTTCTTTTGCCTTTACTTAGAAATAGCTAGAAGGACTAGAAATGGAAGCCTCAAATTATTCTTCACTGTGGTATCACAACTGGAGCGTGTGTGGATTTGCCCCTGCAGCTCTAAGCGCTGTCATCAAATGAAGCTCTGGTTACGGCAGCTTTTTTATGTGATTTTTCTTCAGTGGTGCTAGCAGATAAATTATCCTGATGTCTTTACATTAACCATTTCACATTAGCTCTCCCTGCCTAGTCTTTCTTTGTCTATTCTCAGCTGGTAAATAAGAACTTCACAGTCTGAAAACTATTAGTTTTGTAGCTCTGCTAAAGTTAGCTATGAGATTGTTGGATGAAGCATATTTGCAGAGACGAGTGGTATTTTTTCTATTTATAGGAGAAGTCCTGATATCCAAGCAAAAGAAGAGTTATGGAAGCATATTCAGTGAGTGCTGACTGTTTTTTCTCATTATTTTAAAACCCTGGTAGTTTTAAGGCATTTACAAGGAAGACCACTGACACTAAGAGACTGCCTGGGGCTGAAGCCTGTCAAATAGTCTTCATTGCCATCATTATGTGGAACATGCACTCAGTGGTGGCACCTTATCATGCTAGGAGCCCTGACATCTCTCCTGAGACCACTTAGCCTCACCTGTAGGTGGGCCTCAGATAGACCAATATTTTACAAATAAATACCAAGGAAAACAGATTCAGAAGAAAAAACACCTACTACAGGGGAGAGAAGTAGAATTTTGGGGATGGCTAGAGGGCCATCTACATTTTGGATATAGAAAAATTGGAAGAAGGTAGAAGAGCTACAGAAAAGGTTTTCCTCCCATTTTTCCTTGAACTCATTCTAGTTTTTAAATCTTTGTTCCTGGCTTATATTTCTATTGGTTTTGCTAACACCGTGTTTTGGGATAAGTTGTGAAAGGTATTAGTATTTATACCAGCATCATAACTTTTATTCTCTTGCTTGTTCCCTTCTAGGAAGGAACTTGTGGATCCATCTGGATTGTCAGAAGAACAATTAAAAGAGATTCCATACACTAAAATAGAGTATGTCTTTGAAAAACTTTTCACAGTTTTATTAGTACTTATAAGTGAGTAATTCATTCTTATTCTTCATTGGTGTTCCATGCAGTGCTTGCATTTGTCTTTATATTTTAACTAAAATTAAATAGCACTATAAAGAGGAAGAAAAGGGTATATTAAAGCTAATCATTCTTCTGTACTACAATCACTGTTATTTCTTATTAAATGCCTATTTGTATATATGATAGGTACAAAGGGTCTTTTGATAGTTGAGGTTAGTTTTAAAATATAAATTCTTTTTTTTTTTTTGAGATATTCATTGATTGGCAACAAAATTTCTTTTTATTCACTATTTAACAACATAAGAGAAATAATGTTGATCACAAAACCCTACCATATAAACCCAATCCAGTCCCTATCATAGAACTAGTACATTGAAAGTGCTTCATGAAAGCATAGGGAATCCCTAACCACCACTCAGTGCAGGATGCAGCAGGAGATGACCTGTTCACTGCTTTCTGCCCTGCTGGAATTGTTTATGAGAAAATAAGAGCCTGCTCTATTGCTTTACTTCCCTTTTGTAACTCATGCTTCGTTCCCACTCCAGTCATATTGTGGGTTGGTACACAGTCTCCCTACCTACATCCACACCACCCGCCCCCCTGGCCCCACAACTCCGAGCCCCTTCATCTTTAGGCCAAAGATTGACTTCTTAATGACAGGCTAGTTTGGTAGCTAGGACAATGACCAATTGTAGACTTTTTTTCACACTACTGGAAAGAATTCGACTGTAGGGAATAATTTCATTACAGTTTAGTGGTTAAAAAATATACATATTAACACATATGTACAAATACTATAAAGAGTTTCATTTTTATGTGTGGTCAGGGGAGCAGTTTTCTGTTAACTTGTGAAATTTAAGCCACTTAGGATTTCCAAACCCAGAGGGGTCAAATTCTTTTTAAAACTCTTAGTTATTATTCCATGGCAGAATTTATATTAAGCAATTATCCTATTCTGACTTACGGTGTGTTTGTTTCCATGTTTTTTGGTTGATTGTTCAGGACTCAAGGTGACCCAATCCGCATCAGGCATTCTCATTCACCACGAAGTTACCGCCAGTATCGTAGGTCCCAGTGTTCAGATGGAGAACGATCTGTTCTCTCAGAAGTGAAGTAAGTAGGCAAGCCCGAGTTTATCATCACCCTCATGGCTGCAGAACAGCACAGTCTAATAGAACTTCCTGCAATGATGGAAATGTTCTATATCTGTAGCTATTAAATATTTGAAATGTGACTAGTGTGACCAAGAATTTAAAAATTGAATATTGAATTAATATTGAATATTAATTTTAAGTAATTTAAATTTAAGTAGCTGCGTATGACTAGTGGCTACCATATTTGATAGCACAGATCTAGACCATACTTAGACTGAATCATGGACTTCCAAGGTATGCACTGAAGCTTTTAGAAGAAAGAAAAAAATGCATGAGCTATTCTGCTGTGAATGATGCAGCTATATTTGAGAGAAGTTGGCATAAAAGTTTTTCTTTTCTATATGATGGCATTTTGTCTTTTCTTTTACTACAGCAATTATCATGTTACCGTAGCTTGTATCTTTGTGTTATTTTTACTCATGAGGAAAAGTGACCGTATCTCACTTGACACTATAGGTGCTATATTTTAAATGAATATGTTAATGAAATAATTATACATTCATTTATAAAAGTACTACAATCATAGAAATTCATTTACTTTGTATTGCTGGGTAGGAATGTTAACCATTAAACTCTGAATTAAGGCTCAAATCTTTGATAAACAGTAAATTGGGAGATGGCTAGCCCAGGGGACAGAGGTATAGGCCAGGTTTTCTTTGTTTTTGTTTTGTTTGTAAAATGTTGGTAATGGCTGTCTGTAGTTCCATAGATTTATAGAAAAGCATAAATGGCCAATAAATGTTTCTTTAGAAACAAATCAAAAAGCCATTTATACAACATGTCACAGTAAGAAAAGCAAATGGGATCCATACCTATGTTTTATTCTTGGTTCTTCTCTTTATTTACCCCGACTTTGGGCAAATTACTTAACCCATCCAATTTAATTGAAAAACATCATTAAATTTCTCTCTCTGTAAATCAATGTGGTGAGCACTATAAGGAATACAATGATGTATAAAAACATGCTTTCTATGCTGTAACCATCTTCCAGCTCAAATTGTGATTCTCAAATTGTAATTCTGAAATTCACTCTGCAGTTCAAAAACAGATCTTGTACCTCCACTTCCCGTGACCCGGTCTTCAGATGCTCAGGGTTCTGGTGGCTCCACAGTTCATCAGGTTGGTTATAATAAAGTTTTAAGAAGGTGTTTTACTGATGACAGTTTTGAGAAACACTTTTCTGAAAATTCTTTTGTGAGGTAGGGGAATGAATCTTTAACTTTAATCTGAGATTCTGTATTTTAAAAGAGTGTGTACAAAACATGGAAGAAGAAGGAAGGAGGAGGTGGGTACATGAGGCACAACCCGGGAAGAGTTTATGTTAAGAGCGAGAGCTAGAGATAGTGCAAGGTCTAAAATGATCTGAGGCTTGGGGCAAAGCCAAAGGTAAGAAAGACCATAGATTGTTTGGAGCCAGAATAGAGAAACAGTGGCTTCACTAATTTTTTTTAAAAAATGCTGGTGGATACTTTTTGAGCCAGAGAAACAAGGAGAAACTGGTAGACTCATGAGGGGCAGACAGGAGAATTACTCAAGTCCTGTCTTATTTCTGTCTGCTTCATCAAAGAGAATTACTTTTGTTCTGGAAATGTTTTAAAATGTAGTTAAAAGAGAATTCAAGGACATAGCAGGGCATCCAGTTGCCTTAACAAAATCAATTTAACACTCAGCCAAATTAGACAGATATATATCAGGGGTGCGCTGTAGCAAAATATTTCAGCAAGGTGTTTGATACCACCATTTGAGGCATATATATTTTTAATAAGATAGAAAATAAATGTAGGCTGTATAAGTCTTTGGATGGATGTATATGGTTAAACAACTGCTCTAAATACAAAGTAGATGTTTATAATAGATCAGTGTCAGTCCATTGTTTGGGTGCGGTGGTTTTCAGTCTTATTTGGATCATGGATCGCTTTGAAAAGCCAATTATAACTACCGTCTCTCTCCCATAAAAATGCCTGTAATCTCATATAAATAAATTCTAGGCATTCATGGACAGTTTAAGAATCCTGACAGCCTAAATATCCATTATGTGCTGCCCTTTGTCCTGATTCACTTTGGCTAATGACTTGAGCAAGGACAGAAGAAAAACTGCTATTTTAGGTTAGATTCCTTAGAAACTGATTCTGAGATGGAGATTTGCATGGAGGAAGTTTATTAAGCGCTCTCAGGATCAACACTTGTTGGGGAGTGAAAGAGGCTTGGGCAGAGGCAAGAGTTGAGCTGTGTAGGATAGTTTCAATAAAGGCATCCACTGATTCCATGGGGAGCTTTGGTACTGAGATGGCCCTTTGGAACTGAGATGGCCCTTCTGATTCATCCTACCTGGCATCAAGGGGTTTGGGCCTCTACATACTCATTCTCATTATGTAGCAGTCACTGAATAAAGGGCGCCCTGGGATAGGGCATGATCTCGGACAAAGTGGTTGTCTTCAGTTGAGGGTAGTTCTTGGGCAGGGGCTCAGTTCTGAGTTGTATAGCAGCCATCACTCTCAGCAGGTGGGGGAATGAATGCCTCAGTCAGGGAGGTCGGAGTGGTTAACTTCAGCTTCCAATACAATCTGCATGTTTGATTAGATAAATCTGGGAGAGCTAATAGGTTGTCCAATTTGCTTCAAGTCAATAGCACTTTTTAAAAAGTATATTCCCATTAGTAGTTAGGGCTTTGCATTGAGACTGACTTACATATGTGTCTCCTAGTCTGCACATACTACTTGTGTGACTTTGAGCAAAGTGTTTTAACTTCTAAGCCTTGATTTCTATGCAATGTAGATAATAACCTACATTCTAGGGCTATTATGAGGACTAATAAGCAGTTATCTTTCAGAACTTTTACTTTTGGTCTTAAATTTAAGGTGGTTTTAATATAAATAGGAATTTTACTTTATTTTTGTTTTTCCAATTACTCCCTAACTAATCACCATCATTTAGAAATCTCAGAAAACTTAAATTATTCACATTAAATATTGAAAGAATAGCTCTTACTTTGCTGTATACAAGTCACATTCATCTTCTGATCAATGTTACCGAGTCTAAGGTTGTCCCTGAGACACCTTTGATCTTGAACTCAACAGTTAATGAGCATATCTAAGGAGTGACAGGCACTGGTCTGGGCAGTCAGCAGACTACAGCCTATGGGCTAAGTCTAGTCTGCTGCTTGTTTCTGTGTCACTCAGGAGCTAATAATGGTTTTTACATTTTTAAAGGGTTAAAAAAAAACGACTATGTGAGAGACGGGAGATAGTCCACAATCTGGCCCTTTATAGAAAAATGTTTACTGATTCCTGCCCTAGGAATATAACACATGAAAGTAAACAAGCAAAACAATACAGAAAATTACGTAAGCATTACAGAGAAACAAGCCTGAGTTAGAAAATCAACAGGTGACCTTTCTTTGGTAGATAGAGTGGTCAGAGAAGGCTCTGTCAGAAAGTGACATGTAAAGCTGAAACTTTGCAGATGAGGAGCCAGCCATGTGAGTGGGTGGAAAGCTGATAGAAGCAGAGGAAAAAAGCATGGGAAAAATTGCTGAGGCTAGAAAAGGACCTGGGTGTTTGGGAAGCTGAAAGACCAGTGTCATCTGAGCGTAGTGAGTAAGGACAGATAACTTAGATGCCTTAAATGCCACGGGAAGAGTTTGGATTTCGCATTTTAAGTGCAAAAAAGAAACCATTGGTCCAGGTACCATTTGAAGGGACCAGAGTGACATGTGGAAGCAGAAAAGTTGCATTTCCTGAGTTCCACCACCATGCCAGAGTTCTGGCAGTGGCCTGGCTTGTCTATACCTCACCTTACTTTTTCATGCAGGAGACTGGTTAGAGTAGAGGGGTGGATTAGGGACTTTATTTATTTCCTTAAGGTTTAGAGGCAGAGGGGACAGATTCAGTCCTAGACAAATTTATAAGGTGTAACTTCCTAGCTCCTTACTGTTGATTCTTCTGATATATAGCTCTCTATTCCCCTGCCCCAATTCTCACACCAATGTCCTACCTCTCTGGTTGTCTAGAAATATTCTATCCCAAACATGTCTCATGTTTCAAAGTAATCTCAATTCATACTCCCTGTGCTCAGCAGAACTGTTGTTCCATCAGTGCTCCTCTGAATGTCACTAAAACAAATTAAACTAGTCATAGCAACAGGTGAAAGTTAACTTCTTAAAAGGTGACTAATTTTTAGCCCAAATTTCAAAATACAGAATTCTGGACAGTGTAGCTCAATTTGTGTAGGGATATATTTTTGGGGAAGTAAATATACCCATCAGCCTGATCTGACAGGTTAGGCCATCTCTAGGAGATAGAGCAGGAAGGTTAAGCAAAGGAGCTGTGTAAGGCACCATTAGTGTCATTCTCAGGGCCTTCTCCTGGGGCATTGGGAGATATGACCCAACTCCAGGAGTCCTTGGTGTGGTGCCCAGGCTGTGGTAGCTCAGCTCCCATTTCTCCATTATGGGGCTCTAGCCCCAAGTGATGAGGGCCCCCAGAACATTGTTATGCGGGTTTCATTCAGTGACTATTGAAAATATAGTCAGGAAAGATCATAAATTACCCACAATCCTATTCTTTTCATCTCTCTGCCCATTGTTGTTAAAGTGGGAGGCCTGAGAGCCTTAGGAAGGACTGCAAAGAAAATGACACTGAATTGAGGGAATGGACAAGACTTATGCTTAATTTTCATCAACTTTTTATGCATGTTAAGTGTTGGAATGAACTTTTAAGATTTAAATAATCTTTATGTAACTTGACGTCTTAAATAGAAGAAAATCTTAATTTCTGATGTAATAAAATTGACTCGGCTCTACTTCTCCAAATCTAACTTTTTCAATGTTTTTTTCCTAGAGAAGAAATGGGTCTAAAGATAGCCTGATTGAAGAAAAATCTCAGACATCTACAAGCAATCTGGCTGGAAAACATACAGCAAAAACTATAAAAACTATTCAAGCTTCACGCCTCAAGATAGAGACTTGATCCCAGTGAAAGGCTTGGAATGGGGGTGGGAAGGGAGTGTGTGCCACCTTTGAAACTGTGAATTATTATTATTCAAGTATCTTGGACCTGCAAGTGTTTCTTCAGAATAATCAAGTCTGTTGCTTCTTTTAAAGGTTTAACTACAGCATACTTGTGCTGAAGAGCCTTTTTGTTTGGTTAACTGTAAGGACAGTCACCTTGTAAAAAGTCATTCACTTGATGCTGTATTTTCCTTCCTGGAAACTGAGGATCTGATATCTAGAACCAAACCAGATGCGTCTGATCAAAGTTCTGGAACCCTGGACTGCAGCTGGCTAGCTGTGCAATAGTACAAGTGGGATGAAAAGGTCCTTCTCAGCTCTAGGTGGATCTCAGCCTATGCAGATGCATGAAGACTGAGTTCACATTACTTTCAAACTGCAGATATTAATATATAAGTCCTTTGTAATACTGTATCCTGTGGCATTAAGTTCCACTGGTTAACAAATGTAAAAAGCTTTTTGTTTGAAAGTGTTGCTTTTAATTTTTAGAGTCCTTGTTTTCAGGAAAAAAAAAGCTATGTGTGAATTTAAGTTGACCTCAGCTTATAAATTCATACCACCCTCAACTTCAAATGGTCTCTCCATCCTACCTGGCTGTCTAACTCTTCCCCCAAAGGCTATTTTCAGACCTTTCTTCTCTGCAAATGACTTACCAACCACATATCCCCAATTACCATTTTTCTCATTCCAAGTTAATTACCTGTAGCCACCATCCTGTCTCTTAATATGAATTCTCCACTAAAGCAGTCTCACTACAATCTTAGCACCAAACCCCGAGGCTTTTGGGCTGCTTTGAAACAATGGCAATGTCCTGCTTCCCATTTAATTTCTACCTTTCTGACCTTCCTTTGTAGTTCATCCTACTCTACCTCACTAGTTACTGGAATTTCTCAAACCTCAGACGTAGGCCCTTTTCCTCTACCCCAGGTGGTTCTTTTATGCCCATCATCTTAAGGTTTATTTCTAGTTTGGACTACAGACCAGTGTTCAGCCAGGAGACATTTAAAATGCTGCCCCCACCCTCCCAGCTGGATTTAGGTCTACTATCCTTATAAATGTGCAAGTCTACACACACAGCAGTCATGGACACCTCCTCTGTTGCCAAGTCCTGTTAGCTTTGCCCTCAATAGCTTAATTATCCCTTTACCAATTTTACCACATTGGCCCAAGGTGGTCATTTCTTGCCTAAACAACTGTAGTAGCCTCCAACGGGCCCACTTATGTCTTTCTTTTTTTTGCAATTGTAAACTACCACAGATTTCCCCTTGCTTTGAATGTAGCCTTAAGTGGTCTGGCATCTTACTGTTCTGCCTCAATTTCTAAGACTCTCCTCTCTCATAATGGTCACCTAACATGCCTCATTAAATGCGTTTGTCTTAATCAGGGCATTAAAGAGGGAAAGTAATTACAACTCACAAATCTGGACTTAAGTCATATCCTTTTTCTAGATCAAAGCCTCTGCACATGTCATTCACCTAACTTTGCCTTCCAAAATGATAACTACCCTTAGTCTTGACTCTGCTAAGGTTTCTGACTTGGTCAAATCCTACCTTCCATGAGACTTGTCTCACAAAGCAAGTTCCACATTTCCTTCATTCACCTGTAAGCATCCAGAGGGCGGAACTATTTTGTTCACCATTGTGTTCCCATCTACTAGTACAGTGCTTTCAATAAATTTTTTGAATGCCTGAACACATTTGTTCTTTTCTGCAAAGTGAAGGAAGGCAGGATATGCTGGCCTGAAGTTCATGATTTAAAAAAAAAAAAAATGCAGTGTCATGTAAAATTAGCACATCTGCGATCGAGAAACCAACTAGTCCAGTCCATTACAAGGCACTGGAAGAAAGCACACATTTTTCTGTGGGCCTCGCATTACATTAGCCTTTCAGTGACTGATAGCACTGAATGTTCATCTTAAATGCTGAGATTTTTGAAGTTGCTGGGGGAGAAGGGAGAAATTCTTCCTTTGATCTTTCAGTGAAAGAATGCTATTTTGGCAGTCACTTAATACACAAACCTCCAAGCACATTTAAGCATTTATTAATAAACCCAGTTTTAAATGTATTTTTATGGACTGTTCGAAGGCAGGTTAAGTACTCCTCAGATTCCTGAAAATTTTAAATGATCTAAGCAACTCCTGTGAAGATCAAGTTTTCAAAAATTCTTCAAGGACATCCTAAAAAACAATAAATAAAAATTGAGAAGCAAATACATGCATCATACCTTAAAAACCTGGTAATAAACTCAATACGCACTTCTGCATTGCTCTAAATTCTCCATTTCTGGAATTAGATTTAAATATCAACATAAAACATGCCTCTTGAAATTTGACAAATTTTAAATTTAGCTGCTACATAGAAAACATCTTAAGATGTCAAAAATAAGCTGGAAACAAGCTATCCTGTTTGCTATTAACTTCACTAATATTAATGAACCATTAATACCTAATTTAAATACCCACAAGTGAAGGCACTCTAGAACAGTGACTAAATTCCCATTACAAATAACAGCTTTTAGACAGAACTTCAGCAATATTACCCTACCTTAGGTCACCTTTGTGCTCCCAGGTACTCAGCTGTCAGCAGTCTATGCTTCAAGCATCCGTCCGCCTTTCTCCTGAACAAAAATTAGTTAAGACCAGTTAAGAGAAACTACACAACCTTGGCAGACTCAAGATTACACGTGAAAGCATAAACTGTTACTTGCGCAGTTCCCACACCAAAGAAATCAAACTCAAGGGCAGGAAAAGGCTGCAAAGTGTTTAGTTTACGCCTTTTTTGACACCACATTCACTAGTTTCCAAAAGTGAATGGGCAACACAAAGGCTATTTGAAAATTCACTAAGGACTGCTCTATCTGTGGCACAAAGTTGCTGACCCTAAATCAACTGGTTGGGATGACCTGTTGTTAGAGCTGGAAGGGAAATTAACTAATCCCAGCTCTTGGTTTTTTTTTACAATTGAAAGCGCGACAGGTAATGGAAATTCATAGTTTTAAGTGGTTAAAATCTTAGAAATTCAACGCAACCGGTCCTTTTCGCACTAACATTAAAACTCACCTGCAAATTTGGTGATACTTTTTCGATTTCCGCCAAGGTCTGCACCTTAAAAGGCATTTTACTTCTACGCTGCTTTCACACTGTGATAGGGTAAGCAAACGTGCAGTTACCCGGCCAGGACTTTATCTTTCCCACCAAAGAAATCCTCACTCATGTTAATTTCCTGGCACACGGTCGATGACCAATAAATTCAAAGGCATTAAAACAAATCCCCCCAATTCTTAGCACAGGAAAGCAGAACCTCCTGAGGTTCCCGACAACGTGGCCGAAGTCAGGCCAGGCCGCTGCCCTACACGCATCCAGGGCGCCGGACCTCTGGCCCGGCCCGGCCTCCGCCGGCACGTCACCAGGCTCAGGGCGGCCGGGAGATCCTCTCTGGCAACCTAAGCCACCTGCCATCTCGGATCTCCAAAAGCAGAACATGACGACCCCAGCGCAGAGGCAAGAAGGGCCGCAAACCCCTCCCACAATGCTTTTCTACCACCGGAAGGACCCACTGTCCGCAGAGCGCGGGGAGGTCGGGCTGTACCATCGGCCGCCGCGCGCTCGCGAGACGCCGCCGTGTGGCGGGAGGGCGAAGTGCCCAGGGATTAGCCGTGGGGCGGGTCTCCAAGCGGAAGAGGACTGAGCAGCGAGGGTTCGCCCCCTGCGCTCCCTTTCCTTTGTGCGCCCAGTCCTTTCCGCGGAGAAGGTTATATCCAGCGTGGATCCCCATCCATCCCTCCAGTGCCAGCTGCATGTGGTCAGCGCTGAGCTGCACGTGTAGCCTAAAGGACTTGAGACCTCGGGTTCTGGGGAAGGACAGACAGAGCACCACCTCCCGCTGAGGAAGAGTAAGGTCATTCATTCAAAAAATATTTATTGAGTACTTATTATGCTTCAGGCGCTCTCCTAAATACCTGGGATCAGGTGTGAATGAGACAGGGTTCCTGTCTCACTTTCTAGTTGGGCAAGAAAGACACCAAACAGGTAACACATGGACACTGATTCCAGATAGTGTAAATGCCAAGAATGAAACAAAGAGGGTAATGTGACAGAGCAGTGCTGTCCTGTAGAAATACAGTGCGAACCAAGAATGTAATTTAAATTTTTCTATCACATATAAGAGTAAAAAGAAACATTAATAGTAACTCAATATATGCTAAATATATAAACAATATAAAATTATTAATGCTATATTTTGCATGCTTTTATTCCTACTAAGTCTTAAAAGTTTGGTGTATATTTTATAATTCCAGCACATTTCATTCGGACTAGTCACATTTCAAGTGCTCAGAAGCAGGCCTTGGCCATTGTAGCTAGAGCAGCCAGAGTGCGGAGTGGCCTAAGATGAAGTGGAAGAGACAGCTAGGAGCAGAGCATATAGAGCTTTGTACTTGTGGTAAGGAGTTGGGATTTTATGCTGCAATTTAAAATTGATTAATTATTACCACAGAAAGAAAGCAAAGGTTGTTACTGGCTTTTTGCTGATAACTCATTGAAGGGATAGAAACTGCAGTGAGAAAGGCTGTATAGTAACAACTAGGTGTCCTTGCTCCTGTAAGTCCAGGCAGACACTCATTCAGAGACCACATCCCAGCACATTTCACTGAAACTCACTGCTGAGAAAAAGGAAAGGAAGGAAAGAAAAAAAGACAATTCAAGCTCATTTCCAGTGGTCAGTACACAAAGGCTAGCCTGAATAATAACATCAACTTGGGGACAATAGAGACAGTGATCACAAGAAGGTAAATAACTCCAAGACCTTCGTTAGTAAGTCAGTTTAACATCTGGGGGGAAAGTTTGAGAAAGGAGGACAACACCCCCAGGAGTGTCATTTAAAGACACTTCAGTGTGGGGTACAGTGTGGTGATTATAATAACCATTAACCTTGTCTTCTTGCTAAGAAAAGTCAGGGAGAGAGAATTTCCTTAGGCTGGAGCAGCCAGCAGATCTAGGTTTAAATCCATCTCTGATAATTGTTCCCTTAGGTAAATGACCGCCTCTCTGAGCCCAAGGTTCCTCATTTATGGCATAATAACTATACCCATGAACCACATAGGTTAGTTTAAAAAATTAAGGAAGGTTTGTGGAATCATCTAGCACTGTGCAGTACATAATAATAGCCGATAAATGACTCTCATGAGCTAGGTTCTTCCTCTCATTTACTGCTGCCCAGGTATGGAAGCTTCTTGGATTGAGTTCTTCAGGAAGGGGGAAATACGCTGCTGTTTTCTTTGAATGGCTTGACATTTTTGCTCCTACTTTACTTTTTTCTGTTCTACCCTTTATATACCTTCCCTAAATTCTGGGTCATTCAGGAATAGGTAGAGGGGAGACATTTGCTCCAAATATTGGATTAGTGTTTGTGTCAGGAAATCAGTTCACAATTCTTCATCTTCCTTTCTGCTTTAACCTCGACATCCTGATAAGAAAAACCCAATGATTAAGCAAAGGCAAGCAGAAAGGACATGAGAAAAAAGGGGATTTTTCTGCCTAGTCTCCCCTCCACTCTTGCCTTTTGGGGCTGCAGCATTATGTATAAGCTACATAGGGTATTAGTGCAAACATGAAACAACCTCGGTTTCCCAGTGATAGGTAGGTTAATGGTCCCCCAAAGATGCCCATATCTTTATCCTCAGAACCTGTGAATGTGCTTCATTCAATATGCCTTAATAAAAGGCACATTGCAGATATGATTAATGTTAGGGACTAAGACTTGAGATAAAAATTGAAAAGAAGGCAGAAAACTTAGAGATGTAGCAGAAGGCAGGAAAGGGACCCAGCCTTCCTTGCTAGCTTTGAAGATGGAGGAAGAAGATCTTTGAAGCCGAAGAATGCCAACAGCCTCCTCTTGAAGCTGGGAATGGCCCTCCGCTGACAGCCAGCAAGGAAACAGGGATTTCATTTCTACAAGTGCATGTAACTGGATCTTTCCAACAACTTGAATGAGCATAGAAGCACATTGTCCCCTAGTCTCCAGAAAACACAGATCTTTCGATGCCTTGATTTTTGCCCAGCGAGACTCACGGCAGACTTCTGATCTATAGAGCTGTGATAATAAACTTGTGTTGTTTTAAGCCATTAAATTTATGTTAATTTGTTATGGCAGCAAAAGAAAACGAACAACCTTTTAAGGGATGGAGAGTGAGAAGTGAGCTGTTTACTTACCCCACTGCTTGCCCCACTCTCATCAGGATCATATGTAAGATTTTGCAGATAAACTATGCACATTTCATTTTAAGTACTTAATTCATATAGGGTTGACTTGTTTTTAGTGGGTGCTGGGGACTTAATTTATGTCCAACTGATATTAAATAATTTGAATACTTTTTATAATTTAAAATAATTTGTAGATCTGAGGTTTTTTTTTTTCCCTTAAACAATCACATCATCTGTAGAAGCTTTATTTCTTCTTTTCCAGTTCTTATACTTCTTACATGTCTCTGTGTGTGAGAATGCCCAGGCTAGGACTTCTAGAAATGTTGAATAGAGTGATAATGGTAGACATGTGTGTCTTGTTCGTGATTTTTAAAGGAATGCTCTTAAAGTTTCAGCATGTGTTTGAATGTGAATGGTATTCTTATGTCTTTCCTGTTGTTTATGGGGTTAGAGAAGTTTCTTTCTATTTATATTTCTAGTTTGCTAAGTTGTTTTTAATATCAAATGAATGTTGACTTTTATTACATGTGTTTTCTGCCTCTAAAATTAGCATAAAGGTTTTTCTTTTAACTATTAATGAGGCTATTGCATGAAAACAATTCTAATGTTGAACCAATCTTACATTTCTGGAGAAAACCAAACTTGTCATTTAAAAATATATTTTGTTGGGACTGTGGTTATCGTTCTCATATCATCTTTGATAGTTTTAATGTTAAAATTATGCAGGTATCTACTTAATACTAGTAATTTGTTTCTGAAAATCAGATGCTCTGAGCAAAAACGTTATCTGGAAGCCTATTTTCAATGAGTTACTTGTTAACCTAAACCGATTTCATAAAATTAACTAAAATATAGTCAACAAACCTCTATTAAATATGAAACTATAATTTTAGGCTGTAAATGTTCAAAACTTTGTTTCCTGATGCCAAACAATATAGGTGTTAACAAAGAGTTGCATTGTCAGCGGTAACATATTCTCTTTCATCGTTATTTCTCTTCCACTTGCTTTGCTTCCTTCTCCACTAAGTTCTTTAACACTTTCTTGATGTTTTTGGTTTTCATTCTACAAAACTAGAGAATAAAAAAGGGCAGTATGAAATATGAAAGGCACTGTGGAGATGATATTCTAATGCTTCTTTTATCACCAGTGGCATTTGTGTGGACCATCTCCTTCACTGGCATTCAGTACACTTGTTGATTTGCTCACATTTGATCGGGATGGTTTACTAATTGTATTTGTAATGTAATTCTCAAGACATTCTCCACACATGTTGTTGTTGTTGTTTTTTTTAAATTTTTTTCTTTCCTGCTTGTTGTTATTGCTAAATATGTTGTAGCGAGTTTTGGAGAACGAAACATAATTTTCCTATATAAATATCAGTTGAAAAGTTGTTGTGAGAGAGATATATATGTTGTATGATGTTGGATGTTAAATACAAGAGGTAATTTACTGAGAAAACATTAATCAGGAAAATGCTCTGTGGAGTATGCCTCTACTGGCTTTGTAAAATTAGTTAGACAACTTTTCCTCTATTTCTTTTCTCTGAAAAATTTAATATACTGTCAATTTTTTTTTTTTTTTTTTTTTGCTTTTAAAATAAACCTCACTTTTGAAACTATCTGGGTCTAGTATTTTCTTTGTGGGAAGATTTTAAACTGCTGATTCAATGTCTTTCGTGGTTGTAGGGCCATTCAGGCTTTTTCCTCTTTAGTCAGTTTTGGTAAGTCATCTTTCCTAGGAATGTGTCCATTTCTGCCATGTTTTTAAATTTATTGGCAGAAAGTTGTTCATTATTGTTAGATTTTTTTCTCTGACATGAACTAGGTGCCCAGCAATTCAGTTCAATTCTGACACTAATTCTTGGAGTTACCATCAGACTCCACAAGTTAAAGGCTCAGTCTACAAGACTGCCCCCATTTCTTTTGCCAGCGACAGTGGGGTGCCCAACCTACCCATACTTCTGCCTAGCTGACTACAAATTTGGGGGTTCCCATGACCCTCTCCCCAACCTCAGGTTTGATAATTCACTAGAATGACTCACAGAACTCAGGAAAACATTTTACTTGCTACTACCAGTTTATCATAGAAAATACAACTCAGGAACAGCCAAATGGAAGAGATGTATAGGGCAAGCTGTGGGGTGGGCGTGGGATATTCTGCTAGTATGTAGATATGTTAACCTACCCAGAAGTCCCCTGAACCTCAGTGTTTTCAAGTTTTTATGGAGGTTCCCTTATGCAGCCACAGTTGATTAAATCATTGGCTATCGGTGATTGAACAAAACCTCTAGCTTGTCTTCCCTTCCCAGAGATAGTGGTAGGGTGGGTAGGGCTGAAAGTTCCAACTCTCTACTCACGTGCTATTTCCCCTGACAAGTAGCCCCATCCTGAAGCTACCAAGAAGGTCCCACGAAGAGTCACTTTATTGACATAAAATTGGCTATGCTTGAAAGGGGCTTGCCCTGAATTGCAAAAGATACTTCTATCACTTGTGAAATCAGTGAACATAACCCACACTGGCCGCCAGAACCAGGTGATCATGGGATATCTTTTGGGTGACAGCCAAAAAAATTGGGGCCTAAGACATACACATAAGCTCCTTTCCAGGAAATACCAGTGACCTGAAGTGAGGCAGAGGGAGACCGTGAAGATGGCACCTATGGGCCTCCCTGGTCTCTGGAGAGTATTGCAG